ATTTTTACATAAAATTTAATTCAATAATTAAATAAATAAAATAAAATTTAAGAATAAAATTAGCAAAATATAAACTTGAAAATTAATTTTAAAGCTTTTCAAAAACCAAGGGGAGCATAGCCCTCCCTGGTCTCTTCATCGCTCCGCACGGCATTTTGAACATGATATCTCAAGAATCACAAAAATCGAATGAAAAAGTTAAGAGAAAGGATAATGATAAAGACAACATCAGATTCCATAAATCTAACAACATTTATTGGTTAATTTATTAAGAAATTAATATTTTTAAATTTAAATTTAAGATAGAAAAGTTTTTAAAAACAAATTTTAATAATTAAATTAATGTGTGTTGTTAGGTATATTGAATCAAAAGGTATACCAATTATTTTTCTAAAAAAAAAAAAAACTACTTGCAAGTGAAAATCTTTGGCCCCTTTAGACCTATGCAACCAGTTTTGCAATTTTCGGTAGAGTGACTAATCTTCAGCACTGAAGCCATCACATTTTGCCCAGTCGATCGGACTGTTCAATGACATCCATAGTTATAGCAGTCTCAATGGTTGGATTTTACTTTGATAGTTTCATTGAGATCCTTAATTCAAAGATCTTGATCTCCAAAGGTGGAGAGATCCATTTGGGAAATGGGAGACATTACTGAAATCATGTATACATATTCGTGATGTATTTTTTTATATTTTTATATATAAAAAAAATATTAATTTTGATTTATGGTATCTTAATTTAAAAACATTATTTATTAATGAATGTTTGGAAAAATTAAATGTTAGATTTAACATTTTATTAATGTCGATCTTGTATAATAAGTTTTAAATTAATTAAATATATCTAATTAATTTATTATTTATATTAATTTTGATATTATTAAGTATATGTTAGAAAATTCAGTTTCTTAATTAATGATTACACATGTTTCATCAACTCAAAAATTATCATTTAACAATTTGTTTTTCATATTTATTGGAGGACCAACCTTGAGATGTACTATTCTGTATATATATTAACTTTGGAAAACAATAAGACAAGCACTTTATAATTCAATATAAGAAAACTAAGATCCTTGATAATTAATGACCCAAGATGTCGCGTTACTACAATCGAAGAAGTAACTGAACTTTATTACAGCATTTTTTTTTTCTTTTTTTGCAAGTGTCATTTAAGATATCTACTGCTAGGCCTTACATATTAAGATGACTTTGAGAAATCTGTAGAACAAGATTGCAAGAAGCTCGAAGGCTTACTGCTAGGCCTTACATATTAGGTATCGAAGGCGTATGAATGTATCACAAT